CTATGTCCGCTCCCAGGAGCAGGGCCAAGGGACGAGAGCAGCAGTGCCCCACACACAAGCTGCCTGGCTGGCTGGAAAAGGCGGCTCACACATGGCAGCCACAACCACCACTACCCCACCCACCACTGCCGTGCCCCACTTGCCTGCAGAGCCACGCAGCTGCAGAGCTGTGCCCGCGGAGCCATGCAGCTGGCCATAGGGAGGCAGCACGGGCCACGGCAGTGGCGGTGCGGTGGCTCTGCAGGCAAATGGCACAGGGCAGCAGAGCCCCTCTGCAGGCCACACACAAGCCCCCTGGCCGGCTGGGCAGGGCCTCACACAGCGGTTGCCACCAGCGTGCCCCACACTGCCTTCTGCATGGCTCCACAGGCAAGTGGTGTCACGTGCAAGCCCCAAACCCTGGCCGGACAGGCGGCTTGCGTGCAGCCTGCAGAGGAGCATCGCCGCCCTGAGCCGCTTGCATGAGGAGCCATGCGGCCACAGAGCTTGCCTGCAGAGTCACGTGGCAGGCCGCAGGAAGGCAGTGTGGGGTGCAACAGCAGCCACTGCATGCAAGGCCCCACCCTGCCCCACCACAAACTGGCTGACCACTTGGCATGCTGCTACATTAAATCACACCAAACAACGTCTGTTAGGGCTCCAATATACAGAAAATTTTTATCCAGGGCCATCTACTGATCAAAAGTAGCAGAGAACATTTCCTAAATAAATAAAAGTGAATTCAAGTAAGGAAAACAGTCAACGTAATTGTCTTAGTTGTCTTTGTTCAAACTTAGAAAGACAGAATAAAAGAAACTTCAATATTTCCATACAGCTAACCTTAATTGATATTGTATGTATTGCTATATTGAAGTGTACTTAAAAACTCATTTCTAAGTTATAAAAAATTGTACCTAGCTGTTATGAGTTTACAGATTCTTAAACAACACTATACAACCAGGAAATACAGAGTTAATTCTTAAGTGTATCCTAAGAAATACACATTTATGGCATTGCAACTGCCTTAGCCCTACTCTGTCAGTACAGCAAGAGTAAATAGCATCTATGGCTATGAAACAAATATATTGCTATAGAAGGAAGAGGAAGGATTGCCAGTTTATGAGCACACCTCAATCATCAAGGTGGAGCTTTCTTATTTCCAAGGACCCAACTTTGTTTTTAATAGAGGTGCACTGATACACTGGTCCCATATTGGATTGGCACGGAAATAGGAAAAACTGAGAGCATCAGAAATCATTTTTTTGCCTGATATGGCAGATAAAGTGGCTGATAAATGCCCTGTGCATGCGTGCAACTGAAGCATAGCACGCAGGTGGCCAAAAGCACAGCCCAGCAACTTGGAGAGCAGCATCTGGCTAATAAGTCTGTTGTGGGGGAAGGGAAGGGGTGTAGGCTGGGGGGGAGCAGATTGAGTCCCATGCAGTGAGGGAGGGAGTGGGGAAGGGCAGGCACTGCAGCTCAACCAGCGGGTGTAGAGGTGGGGATGGCCGGACAAGCTCCAGATCTGTGCAGGGTGAGGGTGGGCTGTTGCTACGGGCTGGGCTTTTCCCAGCGGAGGGTTGGGGCAGGCAGCAGCAGCACTGGGAGGGGAGTTACAGTGAGAGTTTTGGGGTGGCTACACCCCCTTCCCTCCCTTAGCCCTTTCCCAGTGCAACCACCGCTAGCCCCGAGCACATCCCTGGCTCAGCTTCTCCCCGCCCACACACTGGGAAGAGCCTGGCGCAGCCCCAGCCCCAGTGGCAGCCTGCCCTTGTCTGCACAGATCCGGGGGGGCACATGCCCCCTCCATACTCCATTCCAGTACCCTGCCCTGGCTGAGCTGCACCTGCCCCAGCTCCACTCCCTCCCTCAACACAGGGGCCTTGATTTGCCCCTCCCAAAACAGGCTTACCAGCCTGACGCTGGTCTCCAAGCTGCCTGGCTGCATATCAGGATCGGATCAGTAGATATGGCTCCTTAAAAATCAGCCATCAGTATCGGCCCAAAAAATCTCTATTGATGCACCCCTATGTTTTAAGGTAGGTTTTAGGGTGTTATATGTGTGCAGAAACATATGTTATTTTACACCAGTGATTCACAACCAGTGATTATGAACCCAAATGTTGTACTTGTTTAAGTAAATGCATTAATGGCTCAGCCTGTGATTCTCAACCAGGGTGCCGCAAGATTCTTCTAAGTGTGCAATTCACAAAATAAATACATAGATTTTAAATAGTAAACCATTGTGTGGTCTTTCTTAGTTCTTTGCAATTGAAGAATGACTCTTATTTTTCTGTAGCCAACAAACAAATGAAAGCTATGAGCTAGCATTTCCCAGGTGGTGCCTTGAAGCTGAAAAGTTTGAGAACCAGTTTTACATGCTTGATTTTGTTTCAGAGGGAAATTAACACATTTTATTATGAACAGTCTAAGGTCCTCCAGCCTAACAGAATGAGGGATCAATAGGTTTTAAAGTTGAACAGGTGGCACTACAGAACAGCAAAGGCAGAAATAATAACTATAATTGCTGGCAGTGGGAAAAAGCTGTTTTCTCAAATAAGGGGCAGACTAGGGACCAAGGGAGATGAAAGGACACTGGAACCCAGCCCATCTTTCCTTCCCTCTCCCCCAGGAACTGAGAGACACCACATGGGACACAAGGCCATGCCAGCATGGGGGTGATAGACTGCTAGAACAAATGTGGGGGGAGCCCAGTCTGGTCTTCTCCCTGCTCCCCCAGGTCCCTGGCATTCCCAGTAAGCCCATCTTACTGATCATAATTTTGAAGTAGCAGCAGCCCAGCTTTAGAACATCCATTAAGGGATTTGAAGGGTTTTTGTTTTATTGCACGTACTACCACAGTTCTGTTTTAGCAAAAGATGAATGAAGTTTCATAGGACAAACGAAAGGCATTCCAAGGCCTGAGGGCTAAATATCAAAGGCTTGTCGCATATGCAAATCAAACACAAGCATCAGTGATAAGTAACATTAACACTACAAGCTCCACCTATGTATGACACATGAATAAGAAATACATTTGATTGGCTTTCTACTGCTGATGAAGAAATAGAGAGAATCTTGTAACAGTTACCTGTTCGACGACTATGGCATTTTCCAGTGAAGTACTGTCTTGCAGACTGGACACAAATGGTCCCATGTATGAAATAAAATCCTTGAAAGTAGCAACCTATGTATCAGAGAAAGATATAAATGGATGTTTTCAGTTAATGGACCAAATTTCATGCTGAAAAAACAAACACTCAGAATGTCAGTCCAGATATTATCTTCCAGGCGTACCTATAAAACAGTGCAGTTGTTTAAAAGTTTTAAGAAGTTCTTTGTTATCACAATCTTATATCTTATCGTGACACGAAATAGGCAATAGCAGCTCATTAGGAAAGAGGTTAACACTGATTTTTCTCCTTGCACAGGCACTCCAGGGATGAGGCCTGATCACAAAACCTTCCATGTATTTTAAGTACCACTTTGTATGTAGTAACAACATAATGGAAAGAGAGACTTGTTATTTAAAAAGGTATAAACCAATACATTACTAGTGCAGAAGAATGTCGAGTAGCAAACAATTAGTCATACATGTCTTCTGTAGTATTTTCTGACTTGTCCATTTGTACACATTTTAATCACTGCATAGCGTCGTATGCAATAGGTTGTTCTCTCCTCAGGATTTAGGATCTGTAAGATCACTTCCACCAGTTTATCATGAGGAATGGTATCATAAGCCCCAGAGACATCAGCCTGAAATGAAAGGGAAAAAAATGTTATTCACTCCCTTGTTATGCTACTTCTCAACAATGCCATTTTGTAGAGGAGAAAAAGTAAAAGGATAAACTACACAGAACTTATAGGTGTGAAGACGTTAATTGACCCATCTAGCCTGATTCAGTGAGAAAAAGAGGAAAAATGACCTGATGTTGTTTATATGGAATAATCCACTCTCTTACTCTTCAGAAAGGATTAACTTTCCCCGACAAAAAAGAGATGCTCAAACCATCATTTAAGGTTTTGTTAATACGAGATAGCAATGATACTCAGATTTAGGTTGCATAACAACCTGCATTGTTAAAAAAATATGATAATGAATATAGAAATATCTCATGTGTAAAGCAATCTTAAAACTCAAGATTTAGCTTTAGAATGTCTGACTCAGCAACCTAAATACATTATAACAGTTTTGTACCTATTTTTAGAATAATTTCTAGACTTTATGGCTATAAAAGCAATATGTACAATGTCCCCTGAAGCCTATAGCTATCTAGTTGCCGTGACTCTAGCTAGCTCTATTCAATGAACAATCTTTACTTTGCCTTTATTTGACAGGCTGGTATCTCTGCTGCTTGTGGCCTGCAGGGCAAGTGGCAGGAACTAAATCTGTTTCACTGTAGTTGCTCACAAAAGCAATGAGATGCACAAAAAGCAAAGAGAGTAGCTAGTCTCAGAAGACAGTCAAAAGATAAGACACGATAGTTCCCTCTGAAACACTGTGCAGCTACTACCACCATCAGGTTGAGTGGAGTTTGGATACACTACACTGCAAGCTTCCACACTAAGAACTTGAGTCTCTGCTGCTTCAGCTAAAGTATGAACTATCTTATCTCTAAGTTGTCACAGGTGTATAACATCTTAAGTAGAGAAGTCTTCAAAGGATGGGAGAGAAAGGTGCATGGGGTTATACTTGCAATTGCCAGCAGGCGCCAGAAGGAAGTTGGGGTGCCCTAGTTCTAATAGGAATAGGACAGCCAGATAAGAAACTTCAGCTCCACCCAAGAAACATATTAGCTGGAGGCAGAGAAGAAAAACGAAGCCTCTGAATAAGAAAGGGGGGGGCAGTAGCAAAGGTTGTGGGGTACAGAACACTACCCCTGAACTTCATCATCTTTGTCATCTTTCAAACAGGCATACTGTCAACAGAGCTTTCCAACTAAAATGTGTCTGGCAAGTTTCTCAAGTCCCACATTTACATTAAAAAAAATCCCAAATGTAGGCAGTTCACATCATCTGATTTCCCCTTACACTCAAGATGCCAGAAGCTAATAAAAGCACATCTACAATTCGAAATAGTTGGGTTATTTCCTGAGCTAAGAATTGCATGTACTGCCAAAATAATTTTATTTTAGCAAAAGCTGAATGGAGGATTGAAATAAAGAACACCAGACAAAAAAAGAAAAGCAACATTATGGAGACAGAGGAATGTAATAAAAACACTTCTCCGTACTATATTCAGAATTAGTAGCAAAATTAGCTTTCACTGAAACAATCGTGGTCCAACTTATGGCTAATAAAAAAGTTTTAATAGCTCACTGTCGAAGAGACAAATTCAATGTAATTAAAATCTTCATTCTTGTTCAAATAAAGATCAGTTTGAACAGAGGAAAGAAAATATTCTTGGAAACATACTTACCTTTACAAAATAAAAGTGAGGTATTCTGTCATTCGAGTCAAGAACTTTGGAAACAAAATTCTTCCATGCCTTATATATATCATCTTTCCCAAACACTGAGGAGCCCAGGAAACTAGAGTTTACAGTACTTTCATAATTCAGAACACTAAACAGGTTTTTAAGTCGAGTGTTGAAATAATGAGCCTAAGGGAAATAAAAAACAGACTCAAAATGTTACCGTTTCACACGACATTTACATTTTACTTACAGACGTAAAAGATGTGTACTTGGGTCTCTAACCATCTCTAATACCCACAATGCATTGGGAGGAGAAGGAATTTGTATTTGTGATTTTTTTTTGTCACTGTGCTACACAACAAGCCTCAGTACTTCACTCATCACAAACATCACAAAAATAACCTCAAGGTTATTACTTCTGTACTTTATCGCAAACATTTTCCTGCACAGTTGTACACTTCTCCCAGTGAAACCAGCAAACAACATCTAAGATGTGCCAGATGTGGCTGCTCAATAATGATGAAATTATGAGCTTTCCTTACCCCACAAGGAACACAAATTGCCTCCCTCTATTTTCCCTTCTCTTGCCAGCCTTAGATCTTGGGGAGTTTGTACCCTCCAACATTTATATGTAAAAAAGGAGATCTTACCCATTCCCTATATCAGTGGCGTAATGGTCATGCTCACTACAGTAGATAGAAACGGGCTATTTTGGTTCAGAGCAATTAAATGAAAAATCAGTTACAGGTTTAAATAAAAAGCTTTGAAATCTAAACCAGCTTAGACTGCAAAACAAAGCTGTTTTAATTTTGGTGTTTTATACAACACTAGTACGTTAAAACAAAATACATCTTAAAACCATGTACAGTTGTAGACTGAAATACTAGAGTCATAACAAACCAGAAATCAGATGCCCCATGCAACCTTAATTTGACATCATATTAGTAATTAGATATAATAAGTAATGTTGTGTTTAGGTTTGAAGATACTTATGTAGAAACACCCTCCTTTGGCATTAGCTACATATGGCAAAAAAAAAAAAAAAAAAGTGAGCCAATATAGAATATAGTGACCTTCCTGTCTCTCCTTCCCTTGCTAAACTTTTTTGAGCCAACAAAACTGTCCATTTTTACTATAGGTCGTAATCCATTTCTTTTGGGGATGAACCGGAGTTTTGATGCTGCAGGAATATATTTCTTTTGCTGTATAGCTTCAGTCTCCTCTGCAGATAAGGCACGCAAATGCACTTTGGCAAAATGGTTTCTAAAATATAAATGGACATTAAGGTTTAAATAAACCAAAATGCAGTAAATTACAAGTGTTTTATTTTTTGTATATGTACTGAACCTTAATATTTTTCTCAGAAGATAGCCACAGATATTCAATTACCTGTGTGAAAGATATGCCAATGGATAATCCAAGATAACAATGATGTATTTTTAACTTCATACCATCATATGTTTCTAAATAATGTAAAAACAATATTGTTTGTATTTCTGACTTACTACAGACTGGAAAGCTATGCTAAATGCAGCTGCTAGCCTCTTCCTGGGGGGTGGGGAGGGGCCAAGGTGGGCTGGAAAGAAAATTAGGGGTCTGGCCAAACATACTCATTTTTATTTTTTTAACAATACCCACTTAAACATGTTTTATCTATGTTATCTGCAAAAGGAAAATAAAAATATATACTGTATGCAAACAGATTGGTTTTTAACTTAATCTCTATGGCAGCTCTCTAGTGCAACATTTATTCACAGAAAATCAATAGGAAAAAAATAAGGCAATGAATATTGACAATAACAACAAACAAATGCAAACTTCTGGGGAAAAAACCGTAGATAATTCAACTTTGCTGCTTCACCCTCTCACATCATTGACCTCCAACCTATTCTCATGTGACATACTATGAGATTATGCTAATATTTACTATGTATCACGTGATACTCAGTTTCACAGTAACGTACTGTATAAAGGACTCCCTGTAAAAACGCTGCAGCTGTCAGTGAGAGCTGTTGACTTGTTGCAATTAGAATTTACTTTTGACCTCTGCGCTGGGGGAGTGGCGCTAAGGCAAATTTTGGTATGGCTATAGCACCCCTCAAGCCTCCCCTAGCACTGCCTCTGGCTAAATGTAAGACTCTGTTGTTATTAAATATTTATAGTGCAGTAATTCCCTCCATGAAAAGAAGCCCACTGGATTGGATGCTGTACCAGCACTTACGCAAAGTTGCTGCTCCAAAGAACTAATCTATTAACTTCAGCATATAGTAACTGAAATTATATGTGCACAATGTAGTTATAACTTTGACATTAGACTTTTCAGTTTCTGATTTTAATGCTGAAAATTACCTATTTAAATACTGTATTAACAAGGGATGTAAAGCAATAACTTTATTTGTTTAAATCAGTGATGCTTAAACTTTTCATCCAATAGGCCAGAGAATGGGACTGGTCTGCAGACCAGATTAGGCCCCATGTGCTGGAACTAGGCTCTGACACCCCATGCCACACCCTGCACACCAGTATCACACCTGATCAAGCACCAAGCTACCCTGTGGGCCTGATCTAGCATGTATGACCATGCTATCTGGTCTGTGGGGCTCTCCATGGGTCTGTAAATTTGTCATTAGGGGAGCAGCCACCATTCCCTCCCCACCAAATATTAGGACTTGTGAGGAGCCCTCTGGGCCAGATGTCAAGGCACCAGAGCTTGGATCCGACACATACACTAGAGATTGAGCATCCCTGGTTTAAAAACATAAAAAAACCCCAATATTGAGTTTTGGAAACACACTTTAGGAAACATTACAACTTTCAAACTTGATGACTTTATAAAAATGCAAAAGCTGAGTTGTTATACTCTGAACTCCCACAGTGCAATACCTTATTATTATATAGTTTTATGTGCAGTTTTAGTTAAAACTGAATCTTCCTTGAAGTGGTTTTAATTGTTTTCCAACTTCCTCCCTACAAGCTTATTCTATGAGACTTGGCAGCATTTTTTTTGTTCAAAATAAATAAAAGCACATCAGTTTGACTTATCTAGCAGCAAGATATTTTTGTTTTCCTATGAACATCTGAAATACTTCTCTCCTAGCCCAACCCCCTCTTGGAGAGATCAAACAAAAAAAAAAATCATATAAGTCACTTTTGACATGACAAAGCATTCAAAAATGATTTTTCCCCTGAAAAACTAAGTGAACAAAAGAAAGGGACAAAAGTGCAATAATAAACATAGAACTGTATCCTTACTTTGTAAAATATAATATACCCGGATTTTACATAATATAAGAACTGCCATTTACTGGGTCAGACCATAGCTCCATCTTGCACAGTATCCTATATCACACAATGGCAGAGAATAGATGTTGAAAGGGAGAGTGAACAAAGCATGACCAGGGAATTTCCTCTCTCTCTTACAGCCTCTGAAATTTAAGGTCAAGGAAGTGCTAATTCACAGGCTGTACCCTTAACTCCCATCCCATGCTCAATAGCTACTCTTGCACCTTTCCTCCAAGAATTTGTCCAATCCCTTTTGTTGAATCTGGCTGAACTGTCAGCTTCCACAACACCTCGTGGCAATGAGTTCCACCCTTTGTTTATACTCCATGTGAAAAAAAACTTTCTTTTTTTTTGTTTTTGTTTTTATAGTTTTAAGCCTACTAACGTAATTTTGTAACCCCTAGTTCTTATATTGTGAGAGACAGTAACATATTAATACTAGACTTAACTTTACAATACATACCTAATTCCAATGTTCTCTAACTTGTTCCAAATAACCTTCCGGTAGAAGAAAAGCATGTTCTTTTGAAACATGGTTTCAGTAATATAGAAAAATGATCTGAACAGCCCTATGACATAGGCATTCATCAGCCAGTACAGGAATTTTGCCAAAAGTTCTTCCCGGAAATGGTGTTCACAGACAGGAACACGACCACCTTCAAGAAGCAGAAATCAAATTCAATTATACTTGGTAACAGTCAATTATACTTGGTAAATTGCTTAAGAGAAATAGGAAAAATTAGCACATATACATATAACCTTTTTTCATGCTTCAGGACAGAAGAGGGTGGAGGAAAGTAGAGGAGAAAAACAGCCAAACAATTATACAGCAACTGATCCTCCAATTAGCCTAAACCCCACTTAGGCAGACTTTAAGCTTGGGTCACATTGAGTACAGTAGAACGTGGATATTTTGTAGGGTTCAGTTTTAAACTCTTCTGCAAAGATGAAGATTTACAAAATATGCAAGGCTGTACAGGGTATAACAGCTGCATAGGATCATTGAAGGGCTTCAGCTATCTGCTTTGGCTTTTATTGAATGGAAAAGTGATGCAATTTGAAGACAAAGCTGGAGCCAACAGTCTTGGCAAATTAAGTGCATAGCAAGCCAACTGAATACAAATGATTTAGGTTCTATTGTACAAAGACAGAGAACTGTTTGTGGTCACTCAGTCTAACTGGATGCCAATAAAAATGTTTAGGTGAGCCCTTAAGGCAGTGTAGCATTTTAATGCCCAGAGCAAATTCTCTCTCACTTATTTTCCACACCATATCTTATCTGACCACCATCAAAGTCACACCTGGAGGGATATTATTGGCAGTGACAGAATGAAGGCAACTAAAAATGCTGTTCTGCAATGCTGGATTCACAGTGTCCACCAGAAATATCTTCAAATTAATTCAAAATCAATTTTTAATACAATGTGGTGGATCCATTAAAATAAGGTAAGATTCCTACAGAAACATGAACTCAGCCATAGCACACCTGTTTTTCATTCCTGTTAAACATATAATTCAATTTCTGTACCATGCTTAAAAATCTAGGGTGAAATTCAATCTCCCCAACTGTAAAAGAGGGTATAGTCTTTTCTTCTCATCTACTGTTTGTCTATATAGGTTTTAAGCTTTTCAGGGCAGGGACATATATGATTATATGCATGTACTGCACCATACACCAGAGGGCTTTGAGCTTGGTAGGAAGCTACCATAAAGGAAAAAAAATAAAGCAAGTTTCAGTGGAGTTCAGGTAACATGCAGGAGGCAAAAAAAAAAAAAAAAAAAAAAAAATTTA